GGGGCTCTCCACTCGGCCCTGACCGGCCGGACGCACCGGGAGCAGGGCGGAGAGCCCCCCGGTGGCCAGAGCGCCGGGGGGAGGGCGGCGAGCCCGGCCGGGGCTCTCCACTCGCCCTGACCGGCCGGAGCACCGGGAGCAGGGCGGAGAGCCCCCGGTGGCCAGAGCGCCGGGGGGAGGGCGGCGAGCCCGGCTGGGGCCCTGCTGCGCCGCTCCCCTCCAGGCGCCGCCCCAAGCACATGCTTGGTGGGCTGGTGCCTGGAGCCGGCCCTGGTCTTGGGGTATTTGCAATCTGGGTCAGATCTGTCTCTGACTTTTGAATCTCAAGGCCAGGCCTAGCTAGAAGTGGGTTCCAAGTTTGAGTATACGAAGTTCCCATTATTAAATACAAAACAAACCATTAAAACATTAGTGCAATGGTTAACTCTGGAAAGTTGAGAAATCACTGGATCTGGATTGAGAATACCCACAATATTGGAGAGTTTGGCATGGAGGTTTTCGCTTGGCCCAACACTGAGATGAGGCCAAGGGTAAAACGAGGCTGTGGATCGTGGTTCAGAATACAAATCCCCATCCACATTTAGATACTGATTCAGTGCAGGATTTAAATATGTGCTGAAGCCCCAATGATCTCAGTAGGATTGAAGCACGTGATTAAGTGTTGTCCTGAATAAGGATGCTTTGATGAATCAGGGTCTTAGGAGGTACTCTCATAGCAGAGATGGCTTCTCCCCCCTCTCTGTCACAGTCATCCCAACAGCCTTGTCACTGGATAGAAGGATTATGTTATGTTTCCACGAGGCAGGGATCACCAGGGAGTTTGTTCAGGAAGGGGGTTGGCATTTATCAAAGAATGTTTTAAATCATTTATTTCTTCAGTGAGTCAATATTGGATAAATAGACATGATGAAAAATTATGTTTGTAATGCATGGAACTGGGGTGAGCGATTAGAAGAACTGGGGATCTTCTCCAGGGCCGGCTCCAGGGTTTTGGCCACCCCAAGCAGCCAAAAAAAAAAAAAAGCCACGATCACGATCTGTGGCGGCAATTCGGCGGGTGATCCTTTGCTCCCAGCGGGAGTGAGGGACCGTCCGCCGAATTGCCTCTGAATACCTGGACGTGCCGCCCCTCTCCGGAGCGGCCGCCCCAAGCACCTGCTTGCCAGGCTGGTGCCTGGAGCCGGCCCTGATCTTCTCCTACTTTTGCTCTGGCAGCATGACATAATCAGTGAAAATTATTGGCCAATAAGGCCCTGATCTTGCAAGCAGATCCAGGCGGGCCGATCCTGGCATTCACACACCCCTTATTGACTTCAGTTGGACTTCAAGCAGGAGCAAGGGTCTGCTTGCAGCATCTGGCTCTAAATTATTGTTTTGAAATACTAAAGGCTATGTTCTGCTCACAGTTGCACTGGTATAAATCCAGAATAACACCAGTGAAATCAATGGAGTTAATCCAGATTGGCACCAATGCAAACAAGAGCAGAATCTGGCTCTAGGATACATCAATTCTGACTGTATTATAGGTCTTGTCAAAACTTGATTTAATCTATAAAAGGGCAGATATTTTTGTTAAAAAGATAAATGAACATTTGTTAAAGGAGATTTTTGGAATTGCAATGGACAGCTTTTTTGGACAAGTATATTTTTAAAAAATTTGTCATGGAAATATTTTTTTAAAAATGTACATACTGAAAATATTATTTAGAAAAGCTACGAAGACTGAAAATAGTACAAAAAACCAAAAACAAACAAACAAAAATAAGTAAAAGCAAGCCAAGAACTATACGCTGTTGTAGAAGACTCAGATGTGACCATAAGTAGCATCTAACTACTGTAAAAACTGGTATTGTTTCTGGAAAACATTTTTTTGCTATGATTTTGCCTTGCACAATTCATGCGGATTGATTTTTATGGCAATCATCCAAATCCCTTGTATCTATATTGTGTGCTAATTGCTCAAACAGATGGGAGTGAAATTTAATTTGCCTATTTGACAGGTCGTGTGGGTCAGTGGATAGGGAACAAGACTGGGACTCAAGAGACCTGTGTTCGGTTTCCAACTCTACCATTGGCCTGCTGTGTGACTTTTGACAGGTCACGTTCCGTCTCCGTGCCTCAGTTTCCCTATCTGTACAAGGGGGATTAATACTTATTTATCTTTACAAAGTGCTTTGAGATCCGTGGGTGAAAAGCACTATATCGGGCTATGTATTATTATTACATAAGCTAGGCTGGAGCACAAGATATACAGTAAGTCTAATTCTGATCTTACACCAGTATAATTCCATTGATCTCGATGGAGTTACTTCTCATGTACACCAGGGTGAGATCAGAATCAAACCTAGTGTAATTCAGTTTCTCATTCCGCCCTATCTCTCCAGCTTCTTCAACTTGATGTAATGTTACAGTTATAGTCATAAGACTATTCTTTCTGGAAATACACTGAAACAAAATTAAGTGGTCCAGTCAAAGGATATGCTGCATCAATTCTCTCTTACTCTCTTCTTGCTCTTTCAAGAAAATGAAATGACATGATTTTCACTATGTAGTGCCATGGTTACAAATTACACAAATATATTTCTAATGAATATATTGCTGTTGTTGTTTATTTGTATATGAGAATGACCCCTCCCCCCCAACAAGCACCTGATTCTGTTCTTATTAAAAAGACACTTTGCACAACATGAGTGGAAATACACAACTCCTTTGCCCTACTCGCTCAATTAATGAAAAAAGCGCCATTTGCAGCATACACAGATATGTTAGCAACAGTTTTATAATTAGAGCTGTGCCAACAGCTTTTAGTGACACATGAACCAAGGTGACACTTTTCTGCTTTCAAGTTTTATTATGGCTCCAAAACTTGGTCCGGATTCACCAAATGTTTTGTTTTGCCGAATTTTCAAGTGAACCTTCACTACGTTGGGGATCAACTTTTTTTCTGTTTGTACCGTGCTTACCTCTGCAGGATTCTTGCCCACGATGAGGGCTCATAGATGCTACGATACTGCAAATAATAAATAATAGTCATAAAACCATTCAAGGGAGGGATTTATGTCTTGTGAAACTCAGCAATTTTGTGTGCTTTTTGACCCAAACTAGGCAAAACTTTGGCCATTTTGACGGGGTTTTAATTTGAATTTCCAGATTCATTTTAACTTGTTAGACTTGCTTCGCAAAACTAAGATTTGGACTGAGAATGCTCCCAGGTTTAAGCCTGTTGGCATTTGAAGATTTTGGTTCAACCCACTGTGAAGATAGAAGTCTTGTGAAACACTGGTTTTGGTTAGGGCCTAAGCGCCACTTGAAACTCAGGGGATGAGAACCAAGCCAGGCTGAAACCCAAAATAGTTTGTAAACCCATTGCCAACTGAATGGCAGAGTTTAGCAAAGCTCTGTTTATAACACTGTCACTGTTTCATGTTAAAGTGACTTTTGCAAAAATGTTATTTTCAAGGTAAGAGCATTTCATAACATCATACACGACTGAATAATATGTAATACGTCGGTATTATACTCAACTGTTTGGAATCATTTTTGCATTGTGAACATCATAGAATCACAGAATCATAGAATATCAGGGTTGGAAGGAACCTCAGGAGGTCATCTAGTCCAACCCCCTGCTCAAAGCAGGACCCCATCCCAGCCAGGGCTTTGTCAAGCCTGACCTTAAAAACCTCTAAGGAAGCAGATTCCACCACCTCCCTAGGTAACCCATTCCAGTGCTTCACCACCCTCCTAGTGAAAAAGTTTTTCCTAATATCCAACCTAAACCTCCCCAACTGCAACTTGAGACCATTACTCCTTGTTCTGTCATCAGGTACCACTGAGAACAGTCTAGATCCATCCTCTTCGGAACCCCCTTTCAAGTAGTTGAAAGCAGCTATCAAATCCCCCCTCGTTCTTCTCTTCTGCAGACTAAACAATCCCAGTTCCCTCAGCCTCTCCTCATAAGTCATGTGTTCCTGCCCCCTAATCATTTTTGTTGCCCTCCGCTGGACTCTTTCCAATTTTTCCACATCCTTCTTGTAGCATGGGCCCCAAAACTGGACACCGTACTCCAGATGAGGCTTCACCAATGTCGAATAGAGGGGAACGATCACGTCCCTTGATCTGCTGGCAATGCCCCTACTTATACAGGCCAAAATGCCGTTAG